CAATATTTTGTTATTTATTGAGTACCAAACTATATATTGTGTATAAAATATGATGGCCAAGAGGCGAACAAAAATAAATAAACCGATTCCATACAAAACAATTAAAATAGGTTAACATCAACTACGGATAGGTAAACAACTTATGAAATTGACCTACTTAAAACCCGGATGAAAGTCCGAGTGTATAATATAAAGTCAACGGTTTTTGTGAATTATATAATTTAGTCGAATAGTATTGTCCAAAAAACCCCTCGCAGTACATGTCACTGCGTTTACAAGTATGTTGTAACGAAAACAATATAATAAGCCGTTCTTAATTGTTTTCCGTTTAAAAATGACATTAAACGATTTTTACCCGAAACGCCCGGCGTCACAAAAACATTCAACGTGGAGTGACGATAGTACGAAATTCTTTTGGTAATTTTCATTATAATACCGAAATAAATTATCAAATATTACTGCCGTAATACACTACGGTGCGATGGTGTGTGGTTTTTTTTTTTTTTTTTTTTATGGAAGATTCTCACGAGCTCGTATCGTAAAATAACGTTAAATGTTAACATTTTATTTATACACGCGTCGTATATTATATAATATTATACGGGTACCTATGTTTTTCTACCACCGCCCCGACCCCCGCCGCGCTGTTTGTTAATTAACAACATTTTGTACAACGGACAGGGGTATTCTAATTTGTGATACACGCGGTCGTACACGTACACAGGTATATATATTATTATGTATTCCGTCCGAAAACACCGGATTTGCTTAAGTTCGTTTCGACACGCACCCAACGCGACTGATAGTGTAATTTGTGGGGTGCAAAATAATACGGTTCGGCCGCGGTATGTGTGTGTGTGTGTGTGTAGGTACGTAGGTAGGTAAGTAGGTTGGTAGGTAGGCAGGTAGGTATATTATAGGTAGACAGGGCAGGTATATATTATCTAACACGCGAATCGCGCGTCTAGCTCTATGTATGCGGATTTTGTATAATCTCGACGAAAGTGGATTTTAAGTGTTCAACAAATTAAAACCGATACTCGAATATATACGCGGCGTAGTTTAAAAGAAAAAAAAACAGAAAGAAAAAAAGGAACCCGTTGAATGTTCTATTAGGATGCGCGTGCGTCGCATTTGTCTTCGCGTGGAATTTATTAACAGAAAAAAAAATACCCGTGAACGACAAAGCTTCGTCACTATAGAGTCGCGTTTCCCCCCCCCCGCATATGTTGCATATTATATTTAATATTTTTTACGATAAAATAAATAACCGAATGGTACCATAATCATGCAACACTTTACCGTAATTACTAAAATTTATTATACTACTTCGATAAAAAAAAAAATGTATGAAATTTGAACATAATACTGATAAAGAGGGGGTTAAAAGTCTTGACCAATTCCAAGCAAATTAAAAATTTCCATGGCTTTATTTGAAGGTCTATAGGATTGTTGAAACTAATAATGTTGTCCTGAGATAATTGGAACGGGTGCAGCCACTGTTGTAGATGGAAAATTGGGAAGGTATAGGGTATAGACAAGAATTTAATGAATATCTTTAAACAATGATTAACCAGTGCTAACAAAAAACCAATTCTGAGCGGAATTCAGTTGACAGTAATAATTGTTTAATATTGTACCGATTTCCCCGTTTTTTCTACGTTTTTTCCAGTTTTTCACATTTGCTGGAAAAACTCTTGGGAAAATCAAAAACTGATCTCCCTAAAGTACCTTTTCAGTAATTAGAAACAAATTTCTAGTAGAAAATGTTCCCACAGAGAAAAAAATATTAAAAAATGAACAAAACATTATTGTAAAACCATATGCTTCTTCGCTCCACCCAGAATCTAAAAAAATATAAAAATTATTTGAGTTGACAATAGGAAAATAAATACTTTTTGTAAATATCATTATTTACTTCCGGTCCTAGTATATATAATTAGTAAAGGGACGCTAAAAACAAAAAAATAATAATAATAATGGCTACCCCCTTCCGTCCCCCTCACCAATTCAAGCACTCATATAAGTACTCCACTACCAATTTCTTATTAGAAGAGTCAAAAAAATCCTAGACATCTCCTTTATTATTTATATCTGTAATCGTAAATTAATAATCTCTATGGAAAAGATACCGTTGTCTTTTATTAACAGTAACCGGGTTACTTTGTTATTTCAATAATTATAATTATTATTTTGTTTTAAAGAAAAATGATGTACGCGACTCTGATACGTTCAGCCCTTGTCTGATGTGTTTTCTATCTTTATAACTTTTTATATCACCTTTTGATTTTTCATCAAGTTTTAATAATTGTTTTCGTAAAATTACAAATTATTATATATAAGTCAATATAATTTGCGTGTATTTTCGACCAACTCATAGAACTTTACCTATGATGGACAATGCTCCAGGTAATATTTTTAATGATATAATGAAGTATTTAAAATTTCATCAGATTATTATTATGCATTATATTTAAATGAAATTAAAGTGTTCGTCTGTTTTGTATAAGTGTATTAAAAATTGTATTTGAAAACAAAGAACAAAAAAAAAAAAAACGAAAACAGTTAAATTAGTATAAATTAATTTTAACTCGATTGATTCTCTAAATAATTTTATGTAGGTGCATATCATAATGATTCATTGGTTTTTATATTTCCTAAACATGATTCAGCTAGAAGAACATGCAATATTTTTAAGGGAAAATAATTTATATACATTTGTAACGTATTATTATATTAGGCAAAATTCATTCGCAAATAAATTTCAAACACTCAACTACAGCGCGGTGTTTTGCTCCAACTTGCTTTTGAATTTCACTCTGAAAATCGACAGAATAAAAGTGAAAACCGAAGGTGGTTAACTGTCAGGAAAAAAAATGTTCAATGGTAAAAATGTCGAATGTTTTTTAAAGTTATGTGTGAAAAAATCGGATGATAATTAGATGATAACACTTGTCCAAACAAGGGCCCAAGTAAAACATATTAATAATATTATATATTGATATATAGATTATATAGATATCTTCTACTTTTACATAGTTTTGTTTTATTTTATGGGAATTTAAATAAGGATTTTTAATGCATTTTCGTTAAATATCAGTTGAAAACTCAAATCATATTCAGTTATTAGCTGAAAACGTTGTCAATAATTGTACCGGTGCACGAGATATGTCAACAATTTTCATGAATTTTTTTTTTCCATCAAAATGTTGGGAAAAAAAAAATTCTAAATCAATTGACGCAATAACTATATACGTCTGGGCGTATTCTGTTTTTGCTCCGAAAAAAAAAAAACCCCCCATTATTTAAGCACGATAATTATTTTTATTATATGTGTTTATTTCATTGAACGATTAAAATTTACCATCCATTTAATTATCTGAAATAGATAATGTATCAACCAATATCATAATACTTCAACATCTTAAAATTTTGCTAATACATAAAAAAAAAAAAACAATAACGTTGCAATTTAAATGTATATATATTATATTATATATTCAGCAAAAAATAAATTTGAAAAATTATACCCAATGTATAATTGAATGTATTCGAATTCAATGCCATTCAAGTTGTAACGTATATTAATTTCCTTACTCTTGAATTATGATTTAAGAATATAATATATTATATTTAAGTTTGATGAATTTGGAAAATTCTAATTCTAAATTCTGGAAAGTTTATTCATTACCTACTATTGTACATAATTTACGATTTTGTGGATATGTACGTTGGTTGGAGCGTGATGATTGAGTTTTTTCGACCTCTGGCGTGGCTTTAACAGCTCGTAAGTCTATTTGTATGACACTGGCGTGGTATTAGTTTACCCGTAATCTCGGATATCATCTTAACACATTTTGTAAAAATCATAATTCAAGAGTAAAGAAATTAATACACGTTACAATTTAAATGATATTCAATGCAAATGCCTATGTACCGGATACAATTTTTCAAACTCATTTATGCTGAATAGATAATATACAAATTGATTCGCCAAACGTACTCACTCCATATTTTTTTTTTTTCATATTTTCGAATATTTCGATTTTTCAAAATATTTAAATAGTATCCTATAGCGATACCAACTGTGGTTTTTCAAATGAAAACCTGTATTAAAAGATCCACAAATAGACGAAGTATTACTTTATATAGATTTCTGTACACAAATTGTTGATTTCCGTCAACCCGTTAACGAGATATTCCATTTTTAAGTTTAGATAGAAGGGAAGTATTAGAGTATAATTTGTGTGTCGACACGATGCGCGGCGTTTTATAATTGTTCCACTACTCTCCCAGATTTCCTTTCGGAAAAGGTGCTACATTTAAAAATCGGAGCAACATTTCTAGTAGAAAAGTTGCGCACAGATAAAAAAAAAATTAAATAAACATCTTTGTTAAACTATATGCTTCTTTGTTCCACTCAAAATCTAAAACGCACCGTTCTCCCGCTCGAACATGGTGAAATTCAACCCAACTAGTATCACTTCAATCTGCTGACAAAATAACTCTAATTCCAGATTTAGAGCTCATTTGGTTTTATATTATAAATACATATGGTTTTGTAAATAATGATTTAATAAATTTAAATTTAAATTGTCTAGTTCATGAAGTAATAATGAATAATAAAGTGAATGATTTTTTTTTTATAATGTCTTTTTATTATACAATTATTTACCTAAATAAATGTTAAATTAATACAAATTACTAACTAAATTATAATCAATTGTTAACAAGAAAAATTAAGATTATACATTTTGGATAAAACAAATATTTTAACTACAACAGCTCTTAAAAATTGGACCTTCTCCTGACCGTTTAGTAATAACTACTCTAGTAAATTCTTCAAATATTTTATGGTGAATGCCAACGGTATTTTTTAAGCGTTCGAATTTTAATCCAGACTTAATGTTACTGCATACTCTAAGATGACTTCTGCATGTGGCCCAACAAGATTCATTCTCAAAATAATTCTATGTGAGGTTTGGTAATTGAACTATAATTTATAAATAGTAATTTTCAACATTCTTTTTAGGGGTAATAAATCCAGCTAGTTTGTAATACGTATGGTACACTTCAATTTTATCCTCAGTAAATCTATTAATTGCTTCGTCTTCTGTGAAACCAACATAACCATACTCAAGAGGTGAAAAAACTGTTGTAGCAACATTATCATAATCCATTTGTTCTTTATTACCATTGTTTAATCTTGCAACAAATAATTTACCAGTTTGAATTTTTAGAGGTGTCAACTCGTGTCTTTCATGCTAAACATCACCAACGGCATAAATATTTGGAACATTGGTCTGTTTAGTATTAACGACAAATTTACTAGATTTCGGATGAATCGTTTATCCAGCAACTGATAGGTTTAATTCCTTTGAAAGAGCTTTACGTCTTATAGCTACAAGAACTGTATCAAACTCAATTTATCAATTTTTGTCCTCTTTCCACTTCACTAACAATTTCCCATCTGATCGTTGAGAAACTTTCAAAGGTATTGTATCCAATAAAAATTGTACGCCTTTTACTTCCATTTCAGCCTTAACTAAATTAACCATATCTCTGTCAAAGCCTCTATAGACCATCATAACAATTGCTTCATAACCTAAACCTCGTAAAAAATCTACACAATCTAATCCAATATATACAGCTCCAATAACCAAAGTATTTCCTGGTAGTGTAGATAAAGAAAATATATCATCAATACACTATTCTTTACAGCCTGGCAAATCTGGATAATGTGGACATCTATCAACAGCCATCAAAATATCCTTTACAATTATTCGTCGTTTTTTTTCCATTTTTCATCTTTGCTATAACTATATGAGCATATTTAATTTCACCATAGCCATTAACATATTCAAATACACCATAGCCATTTACATATCAAATGCTCTTATTTCTTAATTCTACTCGTATATTGAAATTGTTTGATTTAATGTGGTTTTAAACTACTTTAACTAAAGATTCCCAATTGAAAGCAATTAAATGTGATTCTGGTATATTATATCCATAACTGCGCGCTTCGCGGAGAAATTCTCTTAATAAAGCAGCTAAACGCATAAGTTGTTCAGGTATGCATCTCACGTTTACACAAGTACCGCCAATTTACCAATTGGTACCTCTCTCTGATGGAATAACAAAGTCTAAAATGTCTACTTTTTTTTCCAAAACCAGATGTTTCTTTAACACCTGTTAAACCACCAGATCCCCCATCAATAATGTTGCCAAGATCATTTTGTATTTTTTTGTAACAAACTACGAACTCACGAATCACTTCATAGAGTTACGACCATGAGTAAATAAAAATTAAATACATTTTACATACATTAAGTCTCCGTTTATTAATTGTTGTTACCTACATTATATATGTTTAAGTTAGTTTCATCTAATAAGTCTAAAATTAAAAAAAAAAAGTATATATATATATATAAATTTAAATTATTATTTGAATGTATTATTTTCCATATTATGAATTGTGAACATATGGGCTCCCACACGAATCTATTCAATGGGGCCCATTACCTTTTCGAAGAAATAAACAATAACAATAATAATAATAACATTTTGAATGTAACAAAGAAGCTATAAGATTTACTAAGGTGTGGTTTTTCCGAAAAAAACATTTTTTTCCGTGAGTAAAGATACTCCGATTTTTTCACGCCGTATTTTAATGCATGCTGATTTTTTGATTAGTGATACTCATCACTTTATACTCATCAATTTGACAGAAATTTAAAAACTGACTAAAAATGAAAATATTTCCATTGTTTTTATGGCTTGTTCATTTTGGATTTACCTTGGCTATACATAGAAAAATAAACCCGATTAATACCATAATCGTGTTAGCTTGCCGAACGTCATTGAGAATCATGTTTTGATTACAATCAGTGTGAAAAAAATTTCAAAGCGGGAATTTATTTACCGCAAATCGAGGAACGTCCCGGAGAACAAACTGAACCTAACCAAACTTTCAGGAAACCCATCATGGAGACAAAACTTCCAAAACGGTCACGCACACTTGGTGTTCATAATAACGATATACCCATAGGATTCAAAAATAAACTACGCCCTGACTAAAATCGGTATTTTAAGGATAGTGTTAAGACAATAATTTAAATTTAATATCCTATCTGTGTATGGAACAATCCTATACCTTCCGAAACGTCCATCTAGAACGCCTGCAGTGGCCTATCCAAGGTGACGTCCTGCTCTTTTTCGATTTTCACTACAACACACGAGCAGCGGTTAGGTTTTACGACAAAAACGATTTCGAGTAAAAAAACCAACTGTGGAGTATAATGAAAACACGCCGTTACGTATAGGTACGCACAATACCATACGTACTTTATAGGTATAGGGCAAAATCGTAAAAAAATAACGTAGGTATATTCGCAAACGTGTGCGACTACCGTACATATATTGTTATGGCTTCTCGACGTCCACAAACTGCAGTTCATCCTGTACTACCGCCGTCGTCGTGTTATTGTTTTACTGCTTTCTCCCGACAACAAACCGTCGTGTTATTATATTATACAGAGACTCCTGTTGTATAACTCCTTAAGAGTTTTATTAACCCACCGCTACAGTCGGTAGTACTTATATAGGTGTACGAGACAAGAACGTTATCTTTTATTTTATTTTTTATTTTTTAGGGGTAGGGGGAAAAGGATATTTTGAATAATATGTTATACGCGGGCAACCGAAAACGCCGTGCCGTTAAAACATAATACGTTTCGTCGTTCCGGTTTATAATTTAAATATTTTGCGCTGCCGAGCGCCGGGGCCAAACGACAACGCCGCAACAAAGGACGGAAAATTCCCGTTTAGTGCCGGCGGGGGACCTGCTGCGGCACCGAGAGCACGCGCGCGTAACAAATTTCGTATTCCCTATTTTCAAACGTTATCTACAGCAGTTGAAAGTCTATGTGAATTAAACTTAAGTTTATTATATAATACAAATTTATAACCGTATTATTATGGGTACCGAGGCAAAACGTAACGTGATAATATTATGCCGCGGTACTTAATACCATCTACTTACATCCACCGATGGATAGGAAGTCGGATAATTTTCATAATAATATGTAGTTCAATAATATTAATTTCGAATTAAAGAAACATAAAAAAAAAAAAAATTCGGGCATGCTATTTGGCACGTGGGTGGGCCGCTGTTGTCGGTGACAAGTTGGAAAGGTTAAAGGGAAATTTAATGTATTTCTGTACGCAACGATTAACCGTTGCTAACGAAAAACGGTTCTGAAAGAGGTTCGGTTAACAGTGTTGCTTTGTCGACAATATATAACATGTTACATTATGGTAAACAAATTACACATGCATTATACGTTTTATTTAATATTGTACCTATTTTCCCGTTTTTCCAATGTTTTTCTCATTTATTGGGAAAATCAAAAAATGATCTCCTTAACGTACCACCCCCAAAAAAATCCATTTCCGAAAAGATGCTGTACTTGATACTTCGTAGCAATATTTCTGGTAGAATTTTCGTATACAGTATAAAAAAAAACATCTTCGTAAAATCAATACATTCTTCGTAACACTCAGAATCTAAAATTAAACAAATGTTTGTCGACATGAAAACAATATGTATACACAACATATTTCGATTTTCGATTATTAAAACGGATTTATTTTTGAAATTTTTTATCGAATTTCACTCATAAGCTGTACTAACTGTCTTTGAATCGAAATGAGTATTATTTAAATTCATAAATAAAATCTTCGGTCCCGGAAAATGTCGGACGCAATCATGTCGTAATAATAATCCTGATCTAAACGTTCCGATTATTCGGAACGGCCTGAAACGTTGAACAACAGCAACGGCGACAGCTAGGCAGGGCCGCAACCGCCGTAACATCAAACGGCCCCTCTTTTCGATCGGGAAAAAAAAGAACGGAAATATTCATAGGGTATAATTCCTAAAGTTCGGGCCGAGGGTGGCCGCTAATCATCTATCGCCAACGCCGATGACATAATAATAACGATGGGTGGGAAAACTATTGTTGTGCACGCCGCATAACACAATATATCGTGCATCTAACAACATAATATAATGTACACACGCTCCCGAATCGAAACGTACGGGGTACGTGTTTTTTTTTTTTTTTGTCAAAAAAATTAAACACAATAAAATAAAAAAAACCGGACATAATATTTTTTTTTTTTTTTTGGTGTAATATAAAATACGGAACTTTTGTTTACACCTGTTCGGCGTACACGCGGACCCCGGTTGATTACGTACGTGTCGATTCCCATCGCATCGCGCAGCGTGTGCGTTTGTCGGGACGGCCGTGCGGCGGCGGCGGCGGCGACAACAGAGGAAACAGTTAACCGTTGATTGATCGCCGCGAACACTCCGCCCTCGCAACCGTAATGCACGAAAACACTACCCCGGGTGCGCGTACGCGTACACGCACGCATATGTATAACGCGACGTTACATTTTCCCACGGGCGAAAACCGCGCGCGTAATTATTGTTGTACCGCCGTAATAACACACGGCGGAACAATAGCGCACGGGGTTGTCGCGAAACAATAACGACAACGGTGCTGCGTACTGTTATTATTGTTTTACTATAGCGCGCGCGGAATTCCGTACGGCGCATACGCGGCCGCGGCGTACCGCGACCGCGACGACGACGACGGCGCGTATTAATGTAATAATATCGTAGCGGTATCGGTATCCGTACGCCCGTAAACCGGAACGCGTCTAATGCGAGTCCGCGCCCGGATAACCCTTTTTGTTGTTGTTTTTTTTTTTGTCGCTTCCTGTTACCCCGCGGGCAGATGACGCCGCGATTATATTTCCGGCGCGGCGGCGACGACGGCGACGACGACGAGTATCCAATGTCCGAACGGCGCCGGGGCCCTCTCGCGCAAGAGGGCGGGAAGAGGAAACGATACGCGCCGGACGTTTGGTCGGAATCCGCGACGACCGCCGAACGCGCGTTATCGTTGTTGCCGTTGTTGCCGTTGTGACTACTATCGGTGTCCGCCGGGCACAACGAACGCCAATAACGCCGATTGCGCGTTACGGCTGAGAAATCGTCCCGTGTACGCGCAAAAGCGGCGGTACACCGTCGGAGAAGCCTACGGTAATTGTTCTGTTCACCGATCGGCTCCGATACCCGCGTGCGACTGTATGTACCGATGCGAAAACAACCGCAGTCCCCTTTTTCAAAAAATGTTCATCAAATCGGAGCATTTTCGGCGGATAACTTCACTGTCCGTTTCTCGTCGATTCGCCTTAAACAGCGCGTGTCGCGCATTTCCCCCTCCCCACCCCCGAGGTCATTCTATGGTCGAGATAACGGATATCGTACTCTGTGTAGACACTCGTGGATACTCTGCAAATCACGATGGATATAAATCTATTATCTACAATCGTGTATAATGCTTATGTCGTTGTGTGTCCTTCGATCATCACTATTTCGCCAAGTTCGAATATAAAAATTACCAAACCGTATCGACCGTATGATGTTCAAACGTATTATCGTATTTCACTCAATCCATTCGGAACTTACTTTGAATGTCACACTGATATTAAGCATATTCTCTTCCCACGTCTTTGGCCGTTTGCAATACTTGAACCGCGGTTTCAATGAGTGCGATTTACATTTCCAGACTCTGACGTTCGTTTATTTGTTTATTCGTACAGGGAACGTTGCGTTTAAGGTACAAACCTTACTATGTACCGTGATTCTTCTTCTTTGGCCTATTAATATGGACCGTTAAGGTCCTTTACCGTTTCCGCGATCCGCGCTAATTGATCCACGAATTGA